AGAGAGGGAGAAGAAAGAGAAGTCAAAGGAAGAAAGTGCTTGAAGCAGATGGGAGTGGCTAATTGAGAATTTGATTGCTCAGATGATACCGAGATGTCATTACAATGATGATTGGAAAATGTCAATATGGACATCGTTGGTGACCATAGCAAAAAGTCTTTTGGTGTGGTGACAGAAGTGGGTCCCACATTGTAGTGGTCGCAAGAGTAAATAGTAAGTGAAGAAATTTGGACAATAAATGTTAACCACTCTCAGGGTGTTTTGGAATCAAAAGAAGGAGAGAAATAGGACAGTGGGTGTTTCAGTATAGGCTTGAGGATGATTAAAAAAATAACTGGAGAAACCTAAACATGATAAAAAGCTAATGGCAGTGAGAGAGGAGTCGGGAAGGAGGGAGAGAGAGAGAGAGAGAGAATTTGGATATATGATTTAATGGAGAATTAAGATATAAGATTCCTGAGAAGGGAGAAGGAGATGGAGTGTGTCACAAAAGTGAGAGGATTAGCCTTTAAAATTTATTTAAAGTTTATTTATTTTGAGAGAGAGAGAGAGAGAGAGAGAAAGAGAGCACGTGGGGTAGGGACAGAGAGAGGGAGAGAGACTTCCAAGCAGTCTCTGTGCTGACACAGTGAGAGCCCGACAGGGGGCTTGAACTCATGAATTGTGAGATCATGACCTGGACCAAAATCAAGAGTCAGATGGTTAACCAATTGAGCCATCCAGGCACCCCAGGATTAGTCTTAAAGACGAGGAGCCTTAAATAGCTTCTCTGTTTGAACAGGAGGGAAGGGTCTATCAGTGATCAGGTGTGTAGGTTTAGATTTAGGTAAGTGAGGCAATTCCCATTTGGTAGTTTTTGTTCTCTGTGTAAGATGGGAATTGATGTGGGTCCTTTTTGAGGGTGAGGGGAGACTGGGAGAAGTTTGTTTGAGGGGAATGGAGAAGGCTTTAAGTCAGCAATTGAGTAGTCTTGTTGAGGGACTTTTTACAGCTACATTCAACTTCCAGGTGTAGATACAGAGAGAGAAGATTGTTGGATTCATCTGGTATTGACTTTTACATGATAGGTGAGAAGAAAATTCAGAGGGATAAGCAGGTTCAGGGCTTTAGCAAGAGTATTGTTGCATTAATGGTACAAAGATTTTAAAGAAGACACATGTGGAAATGAAAAAGGAGAGAGCTGATAGGCTGGGAGAAGACAGAGGCAGGCATCCATGGACAGCAGGTCTCCAAAGAGCCAGAGGATGGCTGTCGTGAAAATAGTTGAGTCAGCAAATTCAGCGGTGAACAGGATAGAATTAAAAATGTGGAAGGAGAGGGAGGAGAAGGTCTCCCAAATGGAACCAAATGGACTCAAGAAAATATCCTAGCTAATTAGATAGATTGTATTCGTACATGTGAAATAAACCAATATGGCAGCTTTTAAAGTAAATGTGCCTCTTAAGATATAAGAAATGAGTTTTTACCAGCAGGATTAGCAAAACACAAGAAGGACATACCTGAAATATGTGCAGGTCAATCAGATGCAGTCTTGCCTGCCTGTCCCATGAAATGCTGTGCTTGTGCTTGGCTTACAGTTTCAAGCCTGTGGAGGGTAAGTTCTGGAAGAGGGTGCCCTCTGGAGAGAGGGTTGTAGAGTCCACTGAAATGAAGCTTAAGAATTTCTTCAGCAGGTTATGTTATTTGGTGTTATTCGCTCAACAGTAGAGTCTAGTCGTTACGTTATGCCCAGAGGAAACTCCTCTGAATATTGCAGCACTTATAGCTATAGTCCTAAGTGGTCACGGGTACAAGAGAACAGTTATGAAATTGACAATAGTGCTAGCATTCTTCTAAGTATTTCTTTCTCTTCTCCCCTTGATAAGAGCAAATAATTTCCTAAGCACCGGAGAACATATTTGCACAAATCATGAAGATGGTTTCTGGAGGTCAAATACTTGATGATAGATATAGGAGCTATCGGAATGGGCCTCTAGCACTTTCTCTGCTGACTCTTCATGGGTGAATACTAAATGGGATGTGCTTGTGCCTGGGTGGCTCAGTTGGTTAAATGGGATGTGCTTGGCTACAGGATTCCAGACAGTGCTGAGGCCATCGTGAATTTGCCACCTAAGAAGATGATCCCTGAAATTTCCTGTGATCATTTCAACCAAGAAGCCTTTTCTACACTTGTAGAAGCCAAAGAAAGTTCATACCTCCTTACGCCTCTGGTTGTATCTTACCACTTTTTAAAACTATAGCAGGGCTTTTCAGGGGCACTTTTCTCAGAATTATGTCTGCCTTAAGTGCTGGTTCTCTATGCTTTACCTGATCCTCCAGCAAGAAATTGTATTTTTACCTTTTGAATTCCTATGGCACTTCAGCTGTAAGTGTCATGGTGCTTAACATTTGCTACTTTGACATATAGATATATCACTTATGGACATATCTCTCCTACAAGACTGTGAGCTTTTGAGGGACAGTTAGTCTGAAATCACTGTTACATCTGTCACCATGCTTCTTGTAATTGTAGGTTTTCAATAGCTAATTGTTTAGTAAATGAAATAAGTCAGATTCTCCTATTGTCTCTGTTGGGCTGTAGTCCCACATTGGCTTATTTCCAAGCCTGAAAGGACACCACCCGCCAATGCTAGTGTGGTAATTATTGTGCTATTGCAGATCTTATATTAAATTGTGTCAGTGTGTTGGTTTGCAAACTTTGGAACTTCCTGGGTAAAATTTGAAACTGGCTTTTATACACAGATCACAAGGAGATACTGAAGAAAGAGACCACTTCAGATTGGTAGATGGTAGGTTTAAGGAGCAAGGTAACTTACTAGGAGGCTTAGGCAGATGAGTGAATTTCCACACCTGGCTGCCAGAATCATAAAAGTTCATATAGAGCATTGTCCAGATGGTCTCAACAACACATTGCTCTCTCAAGGCTGCATTCTTGAAAATGGCTCTGGCTGTGGGAACGGTGGTACATTGCAAGGACAGGGGAGGGGGTGAGGAGGCTCTGCTTGCCTGGGTCCGGCTCACAGGTCGATGGGTGGCCACATCCTTTTTATGGTCTCCTTTAACACAGTGCCATGTCTTCTTGCAGATCAAATTGTAAATTAACTCTGATCTCATTTTGGCTGGTGGATTAAACCAGGTGCAGAGGGAATGGGTCAGTGAAGACATTAACCTAGCAGATGAAGCCATTCTCAAGCTAACATCATATGTTCTTTCAAAAAGCATGTCTAGTAGTGCCTGGGTGGCTCAGTCGGTTAAGCCTCCGACTTGGGCTCAGGTCATGATCTCACGGTTCATGGATTCGAGCCCTGCATCTTACTCTGTGCTGACAGCTAGCTCAGAGCCTGGCCTGCTTCAGATTCTGTGTCTCCCTCTCTCTCCAATCCTCCCCTGCTCACACTGTCTCTCTCTCTCTCTCCGAAATAATAAAAAAAAAAAAATCAAATGACATGTCTTAGGGGGATATGCTTAAAATTACAGAAGGTATCATAATACATATATAGAGAGTATATGTCGCGAACACCACTTGCAATATGTGTTAGTGAATAAGAGCCGATTCTGATTTAGGGGGGATAAAGCAGACATGAAATATCACATATGCCTTGCAATCCAGAAGAACCTATCAATGTTGCCTTTTTATCCGTGAGAAATTATCAAGTACTTGTTATATGCTATAAATGACCAGGTGCAGGACAATTCTATTAGAACAACCTCTTGATTATGATAAGGCTCTATTTCAAAGGTCATTCGTTTTTCAAAATCAGACATTGGTTATAGGGGAAGAACCAAGAAAACCTGGTAATGCATGGCATGGGATCATGATGGAGAAGTGAGGAGTCTTGTGGTTATTGGAGTAGTGGTATGTCTATTGGCACAAATATGGAAATCAAGAGAACTAGTTTGAAGGAGAGAAAGAGATTAATTTGGTTTTGGACTTGTTGAGAAGAGATGTCGCCAAGCACCAGGCATTGGAAATATATGATATAACATGGAAGGAAGTTTGGAACTCCAGAAAGATTCAGGAAGTCACTTAGGCAGAGGTTATTGTTCAAGCTCTGAAACTGTCACAGGAGAAAAGGCTAGGAGAATCGAAAATCTAAGAGGGAACTGTGAGAAACACCTTCACATGGGATTGGAAGAGTTGCTCATAGTGAGGGACTCAAATCACTTTTAATTTCATCTCAGACTCCTGTTGAACAAGTCAGTGCCCTAAACTAGCCATTTGCAAGAAATGAATTGCTAGACATCATTTGTGGCAAGAGACTGAACTAAAAATTAAGGTAGTTAATTTTAATTTAAATTAGCAAAATTTAAAGTATTTGAAGATAAGAACTTTATCGGAACCCTCAGGATTGCATCTCATAATGCTTTCACAAATAGATAGGCTGCAGGGACAGCCTGGCCCATGGAAGGTATCCTGAGGGGTTGTCAGTGTTTTACTAGTCAACAGGACAGGCTCTCTTTCTCATTGTTCAGCTTGTCACTAAATACATGGTCAGTAATATTTAACCTTGCTGAATTATAAATGGCCAAAAATTAATTTTATCCAGATTCATACAGATTGGGCTTAGGACTGATGGGACAAAGAGCAATGAAGTCTAGATAATGTCCTATATTTTATCACTGTACTAGGTAGTCTTTATTCATAGCTCTGGGCCAAAATGAGTCCTTACCATGGCAATTCATAGCCCTTTGAAATAACACCAAATTGGCAAATATGTTAAAAAAATTCAAGATGGAAGGTCGTTAAAAATTCATGTATTCCTGAAAAACATTTCAGAAAGAGATGATTTTCTCTGCCCTGAATGTGGTTGTACAGTTACTTGTTCATTTAATAGTGTGACTTAGTGACTAAGTTCATTTTCATGCCCTAAATTGCATGCACTAGAATCTCTCAGGAATGCTGCTTCCCTGAATGGACAGCTGTATGCTATAATTTCATACTGTGTACTGCATTGCTTTGTAATATTAAAACCACGTTTCATATTCTTCTTTTACTTTAGGTCTTGGGAGCTGTTGACAATGGCATGGGTGATGGCTGCCCTCAGAAGCTGGCAACTGCGAATATTCTCCGCTTCCTGTTACTGGTCTTGATTCCGTGTATCTGTGCCCTCATTGTCCTGCTTGTGATCCTGCTTTCCTTTGTTGGTGAGTGATGCCACTATCAAAGAAAAACGAAGTCAAAATGAAAATGACCGCAACAGTAATTTCTACTTAGTACTTATTTCACCTGAAGAGTCAACTTGGTGAAAGGGTTATCTGTTGACTAATGCAAATCTGAAGTTTCCTCCACTGTTTCACTCTGCTAGTTATTATTATTAGTATAAATTAATGAAGTAATTAATTAAAAGCACGGAAGCTGTGATTACCAGGTACCAGGCACTGGGAAAGTCCCTGAGAACTTAGGGGTCGTTAACTTAGTCCTTCTTTCTTAGGAACTTATGGGTGAGAGGAAGAGATGATTATAACACAAGGCAACACATGGTGGAGATGGAGGATAGGCAACACTAGGTATTTTGGGTAAGTCGAAGAAGGCTTCGTGAGGCATTTTAATTAACATTTTAATCGTTGGACAGTTCATAGAAATTCGGGTAAGAAGGCCATTGTACAAATACATAGGTTTGGCAGAGAAAAGAGCAAGTGCAAAAGTAAAACCCCATGATAGATGGAGGTAGACTTAGGAGATTGGGTAGAATTTTCGCAGTGGGAGAAAATGCAACTAGATTGATAGTTAAAATCCAAATGACACAGGCCTTTGCATGTTGTCCTAAGGGAACTGGGCTTAAGTACCTAGGTAATTGCTTTTCAAACTCTATTCCATGAAGCCAAGGTTCTGAGGGAGAGTTTCAAGGATTACACAAATGTTTTCTTTTTTCTTTCTTTCTTTTTTAGAAAAATGTTTTAAGTTTATTATTTATTTTTGTGAGAGAGAAAGAATGCACACAAGCGGTGGCGGGGGGGGGGGGGGGGGGAGAGAGAAGGAGAGACAGAATCCCAAGCAGGCTCCAGGTGGTCAGTGCAGAGCCCAGTATGGGCCAGAACTCAAAAACCTTGAGATCATGACCTGAGCCAAGCTCAAGAGTCAGATGCTTAACCAACTGTGCCACCCAGGTGCCCCTCTTTTTTTCTTTTAATTTTTGAGAGAGATAGGCAGGAGAGAGGGGCAGAGGGAGAGAGAGAGAGAGACAGAGAATCTTTTTTAAAAACGTTTATTTATTTTTGAGAGAGAGGGTGGGGGGTGAGGGCCAGAGAGAAGAAGACAGAGGATCTGAAGCAGATGCTGCACTGACAGCACAGAGCCCAATTTGGGGCTCAAACTCACAAACCATGAGATCATGACCTGAGCTGAATCCACTGAGCCACCCAGATGCCCCAGGAGAGAAAGAAGACAGAGAGAGAGAGAGAGAGAGAGAGAGAGAGAGAGAATGAAAGAGAATCTTAAGGAGGCTCCACACTCAGTGCAGAGCTAGATGTGGGGCTCAAACCCACTAGCCTGGGATCATGACCTGAGACAAAATCAAGAGTTGGAGCCTCAACCGACTGAACCACCCAGCCTGCCTGCAAATGTTTGTTCTGGCTTTCAACTTATAAGAGAAATCTTAAACACATACTCAAACTAAATATTACACGCCAATTTTTAACTGAGGGGAGACCAAACACCAAGTAATTTGTGCTGACAGATGAATTCATTTGTATTTGGATCTTGCTATCTTTTTAAGTGAATAATATGCTAAACCTAAAGGTGAGCTGTTTGAGGGGAGAAACCCCAAAACATTACTTTTCGTAGCTACCTATCGCTATGAATCAGGATATTTTTGATCATGTGCAGTCAAATGAAACAGAGAAATAAATAGCAAGATGATTTTGATCAAATTGCTCACCAACAACTTTGAATTTTTGTATTTCCCCAAAACTACCTGTTATTTTCTCAATGATTGATTTTAATAAGTAACACGTTTATAACCTATACAGTAAATTAATCCTAATAAAATACAGCTTCTATCTATTTGTAGATATTAGGATCTTATATGGTATTAATTTGAAAATAGTATTTATCTGCTACAAAAATGCTTGAGAACCACTGCTATGAGCGGTAGTTTACCATTGGAAGATCTTTCCAAGCAGGGAGGAATCTGACCATATTTGCATCTACAAAAGACAGTAGGTCTAGATTTACCACAGAGGATTGGGGGCAGAAAGACAGGAGGCCTTTTTGAGGCTATGGCTGTGATCTAAGTAAAAACATGATAAGGGCTTGAATGAAGGCATTCGGTGCATTAAAATCAGAAGTCAGGGCTGATTGGATTTTGGAGTAAAGGACAAAGAGGCGTCAATGTTGATCTCTGGATTTTTGACAACCAGAGTGACTTGGGTAGCATTTGTTCAAGGAGGAAGTAAAAGTGGAGGAGTGGGATGTAGGTAGACGGAGGGCAGGTTGGAGGTTTAGTTTGGGCATGTTAACTTAGAGCTCTTCATGGGACAACAAACTACATTGGCATTCTAGTTTCAGTGCATTTATCTTGAGCAAATTCAACAGTTTAGGCAAGACCAAGAAATGAATGTAGGCCTAGCAGAACATGTTGCTTTCCTATGGAAACTTCAAGGGAAATTGTGACGACACATGATTTTTGGCTTTCGTGCTCACTTTAGAACTTGAGGTGCTTGAGTGTCTCGGTTGAGCACCGATTCTTAATTTCAGCTCAGCTCATGATCCCGTGGTCATGAGATCGAGCCCCAAGTTGAGCTCTGTGCTGGGCATGGAGCCTGCTTGGAATTGTCTCTCTCCCTCTCTCTGCCCTTTCCCCCCAAAATAAATGAATAAACACAAAGAACCTAACTCCCACCCCACTGTTACTGATTTGAAGCTAGAAGCATCCAGAAGGGAAGCCATGAAGGGAGTCCTCACCAGTCATGAAGGTGTGAGTCTCACTGGCAGTTGAAGCAAGAGAAATAGATGAACTACAAACAGAAAGTGTACTGATCAAAAGCTGAGGGCAAAAGCCCTGGAGTATTTAAGGGGAAGGTAAAGAAAAAGAAGGAAACAAGATACAGGAGAATGGTCAGAGAAGAAGGAAAAGAACCCGGAAATGCTGTTTCCTAGCCAAGAGAGGAGAGACACTGCAGAGGTCAGAAGGTGACAAGTAAGGAGAGGGCACAGGGAGTGGCTCAGCCCAGTTAGACTTCAGGTCTTCTACTGGGGTTTTGGTCGCCCTGCCCCCACATGGTGCCCACTGTGGCCGGCTCTCAGGCCAGAGGCAGGAGGAATCTCAGAAACTCATCTCTGCCCCTCTTTTCTGCCAAGTCTCAACTCCCCTCCCGAGCTGTCCTGCCTTTGTTTCCTTTCCTGAGCCTTCAGGTACTTTCTGTATGTGTTTTGTCCAGGTTTATAGTTGTTATCTCTGCGAGGGGCTGTCTGGGAGGAGCTCCCTCACTCCGACCGCTGTCATTTTTAAAAGTCTAATTCTTGTAAGAGTGTGTTCAGAGGCTCACACACACTGAAGAATATTTCCTTTCATCCTCAGGGTAGAACGCTAATGTAAGTTTTAAACACATTTTTAAGTACCTCAGTGCTTAGAGGCCTCTGCACAGAGGAGAGATGCTATTAAAGCAGTGCCTTTAATTGGGTTAACTTTGTTTGTTTCTTTATTAGATTCTAATTTTTCTTTACAGCTTTACTGAGATATAATTCACATACCTATTTAAAGTGTATAATTGAACACTTTCTAGTATATTCACAGTTAAGTGTAACTGTCACTACAATCAATTGTGGAACATTTTTATCACTTTAAGAAGAAACTATACTTTTTACTGTCGGCTCTCTATATTTCCATCCTCTCTCTGCTCTAGCCCTAAGCAGTCACTAATCTATGTTCTGTGTCTACAGATGTCCCTATTCTGGACATTTTGCATGATCATATGTGATTTTTGTAACTGGCGTTTTTTATTTGACATAATATTTTCAAGGTTCATTCATGTTGTATAATGTATCAGTACACCCATTCTTTCTTAAGGCCAAATAATGTTCTACTGTATTGATTTACCACGTTTTTTAAAATCCATTTACCAATTGATGGACATTTTCATTATTTCCATCTTTTGGTTATTATGAATAATGTTGCTCTGAATATTCATGTACAAGTTTTTGTGTGACCTGTGTTTTCATTTCTCTTGGGTAATACGTAAGAGTACAATTTTTTTAATCGCTATATATGGGATTAGGAAATGTACCATTTACAACCACTTCTAAATGCATTTTGGCTTAGATTTAGGTAACCTTTATTTTTTTTTTAATGTTTTATTTATTTCTGAGAGAAAGCAGACAGCATGAGCAGGGGAGGGTCAGAGAGAGAGGGAGATACAAAATCCAAAACAGGATCCAGGCTCTGAGCTAGCTGTCAGCAGAGAGCCCGACACGGGGCTCGAACCCACGAACCATGAGATCATGACCTGAGCTGAAGTCAGACACTTAACTGACTGAGCCACCCAGGCACCCCAGATTTAGGTAACCTTTAAAAGTGAGAGTTTCCTGGACATTTTCTTCAAAAGCAGTCTTTTCATAGATTCTGCCCCAGATGATTTGATACAGATATGTTAAGCAGTGTCTGCTCAAATAAACATTTCCTATTTTGTAACTGAGATGTTTGTTTTTATAATAAGCAATAAAACAATTTTATATTTTTGTTTTTTAAAAAAAATACCTCATTAGATTATTCTGCTTACTTTTAAAAATGTTTTGTTTGGCTTGAGTTTATGACTACATGCTCTTTCAAAGTTTTGTATTTATTTATGGGTCCATAAAGTTTGCTGTGGGATGCTGGGATCCTAATTTTGTATAAATACCAGGAGCTGTAGCTTCAAAAGGCAATAAGAGTGAGAGGATTATCAATTAGGAAAAGATAATAAAAGCCTTATGCTAATAAAGATGCACTCTGTGTAGTAATGTGTTTTGTCCCTTTGGGCTTCTCTCATGCAAAAGGTCAAGTTGGTAAAAAGATTCCGTACGATAAGGGAGTTGGACTTTCTAAATAATTATTTCAGGAGCAAGACATAGAGGAGAGCAGTAACAAATTGTTTCTCTTCTCAACCCCCAAACCTGAAGCTGGAGCTACAAAGGTTTAGTTTAGTTTAGTATTTCTTTTTTCATTTTT